ATACCTCTTCTGATTACCAACCCATTTACTTAATTATTGGACCATCCATTTCCCTTTATAATGCACAGGATCAAAATGGAGAACAATACTCAACCAAGCAAGAAGAAAGATTGGGCTGTCATAAAAACATATAAGGTTAAAAGAACATACTAAAGGTATGTTGGCTTGACCCTGATGCCAGGTGGACACCAAAGCTGCTCAACTGCTCCCCTTCTCAGTTGGACAGGGGAGAAATAAATATACTGGAACGCTTCTGGCTTGACATAAGGACAGGAAGAGATCACTCTCAGTTACCCTCATGGGCAAAACAGACTCAGCTTGGGGAAATTAATTTATTAACAATCAAATCGAAGTAGAATAATGCAACAAAAAACTATATCTTAAAAGGCCTCCCCCCTGCCCACACCGTCCCCCTGTTTTTCCTCAGGTGTTCTGGTTTGTCTAGGATAGAGTTAATTTTCTGCATAGTCACTAATATGAGTCTGATGCCCTTCTGAAGCCTTGTCGTCCTTCAAGGCTGTGTTTTAGATTTGTGCTGAAAACTGTGTTGCTAATACAGGGATGTTATTGCTGAGCAGCGCTTACAAAGTCAAGGCCTTTTCTGCTCCTCACTCCATCACTCCAGGAAGCTACAGGTGCACAAGGAGTTGGGAGGGGACATATCTGGGACAGCTGACCCCAACTGACCAAAGGGATAGTCCGTAACAAAGGGTGTAATGCTCAATAGTAAAAGCTGTGGGAAGAAGAAGGAAGGAGGGATGTTTGGTGTTATGGTGTTTGTCTACCCAAGTCCTCACTAAGTGTGATGGAGCCCTGCATTCCTGGAGATGGCTGAATATCTGCCAATGGGAAGTACTGAATGAATTCCTTGTTTTGATTTAATTGCATGTGCAGCTTTTATTTTACCTATTAAACTTTATACGTTTATGTTATCCAATAAGTTTTCTCATTTTTACTCTTCTGATTCTCTACCCCATCCTGCTGTGGGGGGAGTGAGAGAGCAGCTGGGTGGGGCTTAGTGGCCTGGTGGAGTTAAGGAGCAATATAGGGCTCAAATGGATGTTGAAGTCAGTTCATCACACATTGTTCCTGCCACTCCTTTCTCCTTTGGGGGAGTACTCTTCACACTCTTTCCCTACTCCAGCACGGTGTCCCTCCCATAGGAGGCAGTCCTTTATGAACCTCTCCAATGTGAGTCTTTCTCACAGGCTGCAGATTCCGAGTTCCTTCCATGGGGCACAGTCCTTCAGGAATAGACTGCTCAGTGTGGGTCCCCCATAGAGGCACAAGTTCTGCCAGCAAATCTGCTCCATTGTGGGCTCTTCTCTCCATGTGTGCACAGGTCCCGACAGGAGTATTCTGCTCCATGGGTTTCCCGTGGGGTCACAGTCTCCTTCAGGCATCCACCTGCTCTAGCATGGGGTTCTCCAGGGGTTGCAAGTAGATATATGCTCCACCATGGAAGTCCATGGGTTGCAGGGGGAGAGCCTGCCCTCACCATGGTCTGTACCATGGTTGTCACCACAGCCTGCAAGGGAATCTCTGCTCTTGCACCTAGACCACCTCCTTCTTCTTTACTGGCCTTGGTGTCTGCAGAGTCGTCACTCACATATTCTCACTCCTTTCTTCTGGCTCCTGCCGAAGTTGTTTTTTTTCTCTCAAGTACATGATTGCAGAGGCACTACCACCATGGCTAATGGGCTTGGCTGTGGTCAGCAGCCATTCTGTCTTGGAACTGGCTGGACTTGGCCCCTTTAAACATGGGGAAAACTTCTGACAGCTTCTCACAGAAGCCACAGTTGTAGCCCCCCTGCTACAAAAATCTAGCCACTCAAACCCAATGTATAAGGTAAAAGAGAGACCTATGGTGGAGTTTGTAATACATATACCTTCAGTTCTATTGGCAGGAAATTACAAAGCAGTTAAGCAATGTCAACTTGCAAAGTAGCAAGTGAAGTACCCATCTGGTTCCCAAGTCCTTGTACCTCCAGTGTGTATGCCTGGTACTGAAGTGCACTTTCATTCTTTCTACCACTATCTAAAAAAGAAACCTTTTCTTTTCTATGCTTTTATCCTAGCTTGCCTGGGTAGGAATATGCTGCAGTTCTATAAATCACTGAGGGAGAAAAAACCAAGAAGTGTGTCCTTCAGGTGTCTTTCAAAGCAGTTTCAAACTTTCATCTCTTATAGAGTGGGTTTCCTAGCCTGGGCTCAGCCAGTTCCACTTTCTGCACTCACAGATCTTCCCTATTTGTAATAAACTGCACAGTTTGGGTAGAACCCAGCAGCACCAGGAAGTCAAGTTCAAGCACTACAAAAGTATTTAAAAAAAAAAAGATATTTCAGCTCACAAGAGCTTATATTTTTTTTGCCTCCATTTTAGTGATTTTACCATACTATATCCCTTTCAAACTAAAAAAATTGATAACTTCCCTAGAGCTGCAAGAAAATTTAACTAATGCTTCCCTTCCTGGCTTCATTATGCCATACAGATACTCCATAGATTAAGAAAGAGATCATTTAATATCTAGGTGTTAGTGCAGTTAGGAAATGTCTTATTTAGATTAAAATCATGTTAGTGCCTCTATAATATGTCAAAGCCCTTAGAAGAACACCCCTCCTGTGTAATGCTATGGCTTTTTTCTACTGAGATTTAGTGAAAAGCCTTAAACCACAAGATAGAAAACTTATCATTAATATTAGACAAATAGCTTACCCAACTAAGGTTGTACGCTAAAGAAAATATTAAGCATTTTTCTGAAAGCTTCTACACTTCTGAACAGTGAATAAAATTTGTATCTACAAATGAAATCTAGTTGTGACAAAGCTACAATTTACAAAATCTTGTGCACTGGCATAGCTGGAAAAGAAGAGAAGGGTTATGGAAGGGCAGTAATTCATTTCAATAGGTTCTTCATTATGAGGAAGCCTGCTGGTTCAGTCACAGCTGCCACAGTATCAATAGCCTTTTTGGGATCTTGTATTTTTCCTACTTTCATGGTGTTGCTCTCCCTCATTAAGATTCAAATCCAATTGTTTATGCTGCCGCTCACTGTTACTCTTCTTTCATGCTGATTATTTCCATTGAATCTCATGTAAAGTGTACAGAAGTTTAGAGAAAAATGCAGGCACTGACTGCTAGTGAAGTGGAAAAAGCTAAACTGTTGTTTGTTCCTAAAACATAGCCATAAGGATTGCATATCTGTCTCCAGCCTCCCAATTTTATTTTTAGTTGCAGCTAGTGCCATAATAATTGATGAATTGAGCCTAGCAATTAGACAGACCACTGCTTCACTACTGAAAAACACGTTTTGTGTACAGGTAAAGGTATAAAATAATTTCCCCAAATTCCTCAAAAATAAGTCTCCGTAATAATTTGATACTTACAAAACAAATCCTTTACATGATATCTATTCTTGTGACCCTGATATTGCTTCTTGACTTTGAATTAACAACTGAAAGCCCACTCCCTTCATTGCCACACATTTGAGGGCTATAGTTTTCTTTGTTTGCTCTTGCCCACTCTCAATCCACCTATTAAGTCCTGTAATTTCTTTTTCACTATGAAAAACTAAGTGAATCTCCAGTATGCTTGAAAAGAACTTTCCTTTCCATCCCTCAGTTTCAGTTTGTCTGTAGTAATATTTCAAAGGCTTCTTGCAAGATGGAGATAATGCTTTTGCTGACTGCTTTTTTTTTTTTCACTCCTCGCAGTTCTGCTTATGGTTCTTAAATCCCCCAAACAATGATTATTATGCTCTGAGCTGAGCTCTAATCTTCTGTTTCAGCAACAAGAGAAACTTTCCAGAAGTTAGACAGGCAGTGCATGGATGGTACACAAAAGGAGTTAGCTTTAGCATGACTAAATGGGAGATGCCTGGTGCTTGATGAAATGTTCTGCTAAAATATTCCTAATATTCCTTTCTCCATGTAATTTATATTGACAATTATTAAGAACCAAAATTAACACACACAACCTTTACATTGCTAATCAAGTTCAAACACACAAAAAAAGCAAATTGTAATGACAGCAATTATCACCTGTCTCTCTCTCACACACTATTTACATCATGTAAATGATCCCTCAACAAAGTCTTTTAGTATCAACGTAAATGTATGTGTGGAAAGATCTTAAACAGGATGGATAAGGGTCATTATGTATAATCCAGTACTGCAATATGTTTTCTCAAAATTTTTTTATTAATAAGGGAAATAATTTTGACACTATTTAGATGGACTATTTGCATATTTTCATGTCACCACAATGCCAGATTCGCATGCAGCCTGTTGAAGAGGTGCGGGATTTCCCCCTCCACCCCAGTTTTCCATTTATTTGTGCATTAAGAAAAACATAGTAATGAGAGTTATGAACTGCAACTCTAGGAAATGGTAAACCTAAGAGGTATCCTTACTACTACATTTCAAAGGCCTCACCAGGTCCAATAAAACAAGAAAGCAGGTACATAAAGAAGTATTAATTGAAGAAGCATTAATCTGGAGATCTTTGGCACACTGGAAGAAAAAGGGAGAGACCAAGTTCTGTGCCTACCTTAAACTTACAGTAGAATGTTTAATAATAATGGCCAGTCTTCGCGAACGAAGAACCAGGGAAGGTCTTTACACCTTCCAGCCTGTGCATTGGATTTTTTAGGTGAGACACAGTGTGCGCTGAACTGAGCCCACCCTTTAATCCTGAGGTTCATCTGCCGGGGCCAAGCACGCTTGGACGGTGGCAGCGAGGTCCTCAGGACGTAGATGGATTGCCTTACGGGCTAACGAGCTCCATCTGCCCGGGGAGGGGCCCCGACCGGGAATCGAACCCAGGTCTCTGCAGTGACAGTGCAGTGTGTTTTCCCCTAGACCACCGAGGGCTCCCAGTAGAATATTTTAACATCCTTAAAATGTACATTATAAAAAATTATCTTCATGGTTTTAAGTGCGGCTCAACAATAGTACATATAACCACAAAGTATAATTTAATGGACACTTTTAATAGTTACCTGAGTAACGGATCTTGAATCCTTTCTTGCTGGTTGCATGATCCGTTGACCAGCGGAGATAGAGCTGATTCATTTTGCTTGTGAAGTTCAGTTGCCCAGTATGATTCCCACTTAAAGCAACCAGTAAAGGGCTTTGCCCAGAAGAACCTTCAGAGATGAAGAAAGAAATTACTGAAGTTTTAAAGTGCAATGAGTTTAAGTGAATGTAAACACAATATGATACGAAATAAGCTGACATTTTCAGAGAAATATTTACCAGATGTCTATTAAAACTGTCCATTTTCACTAGATGGTACAATAAAAGATGTTGGTACAAACAAATAGAAATAAAAACCAATATATTTTTGTGATTTTGCCAGAAACTGTGAAAAAATAGCACATTTTCTAAAAAAAAAATTCATTTCTATTTGACACAATTACATTGAATGAGGTTGTGTTTCTATTCCTTGTCCTTTTATAACTATTATTAATTTAATTTCTTATCTAACTAGTGAGCAGTACCAAATATATACATTCTTTGACATCATTCATCTTGTATAGTTTAAATACTACCATATTACATAGTAACACAGAGTTAAAAATGCTCCTTCATGTGTAAGATCATCACAGTGCAAAAGTGCTCAGCTCTGTTAATTGGTGTATTTATTATAATTTCATTTTAGTGTGAAAAGATATACAGTTATGGTAAATACAGGATGTTGAAAAAATGTGTCCTGTCACTAGACTGCTATCTTCACCACAAAAAAACCACAGAAGCACAAAAAAAAATTTAGAGCTAATTATACAATAGAACAACATATACTCAAGAGAAAAAAATAAAAATCAATCCAATTTCTAAACAAAAGCTTTATGAAACACGAAATGGTATCTTTTTCCTCCATATGAAGGTTTTGTTTTCTCCAGCAGAACTGCTTCCCTTCATATGCACACTATGCTTTTTGTTCCATGTTTTTTCAAGTTTAGGAGAGCCACATTCAACCAACATTATCTTGGTCACAGTTGCTACTACAAATAAAGAGCTGCTTCATTCATTTTTTTTTTTGCTGAGTTTGAACAGCTGCAACCTAATCAGTGAATGAAAATACAAAAATAAAACTGAATCAAAAGACACCTAAAAACTGAATGCAATTGTTGTCAGTCTTCTCCTCCTCCGATCCAATTAAAAAAAAAAAAAGTAAAAGTAAAAAAAAATGTTTTCTGATTGCGACATTTCAGGTACAAAAGGGAGGTTATAGAAACCACAATAAATATTAAGACCACCTCCCAGTTCTTAAGAACTGCACTTCATTCAACATAACAACAATATTACAGCTAAATAAGTATTACTAAACATCTTCTTAATAATAAATGCAGATACAAAATAAGAAAAATTAAGCATAGTTTTAGGCATAGGTTGCCCAGCATGCCCTCATCAAAATTCTTGGTGACTTCTTTGTTCATAGTTAGTGTAGGGAGTTAGTGTTTAACAATTACAGTGTAGGATAAACAATAAAGAATGCTAAAGTCAATTCTTACTTTTGCTTGAAAAAATGATTCAAAACACGACATTTCACTCAGTTACTTTGTGCTTTCCTCTTAGTTTTTGTAAAATCTGTTTATAATACACTTGTTACAGTTGGGAATATATATGTTCTTAATAAATCCTCAAATAAAGGGACTAAAAGAGTACAGTTACCAATAAAGACCCACTACAAATAACAAGGTGAGAATCCTTATTATTGATTATGAAATTAGTTTGCAGCACCATATGCCACACCATATTTTTTAGTCGTTGGGAGATCAGAGGATTAATTCAGTGTATTTTAGATTTGTTTCTCTTGGAGTAGAGTTTCAATTTCTTTATCTTACCTAGCAGGCAACTGTTCAGATGGTCTTTAGGAAGGTCAGCAGCATGACTTAGGTGTTCTTGAGTCTTACAGTTTTTTAATTATTGTTTTAGAATTTGTCTCTATAAGGAACTAAAACCCCAGCTTCTGCTGCAGTGATGTGTCATGTGATGCTTTCCTGAAT